GAAGACGGAAAATTAATATTAATGAATATAGATAATTCAATATAGTCTAACCTAATATAATTTTTCTTCTACTTGCATGAGGTTCCTCGGTGTAGGACCATTCAAAATCTGTCCTAGATACATGTTGCCCCATTGGTATTCTATTTTAATTTGAACTTTTTGTTGCGAAAATTTTACACATATTTCCTTATCAACAATTCCAACACTCCATTATTCCAATAGGATTTACCTTTGACTCAGCGCGGAACGTAAAACAATCTAAAATTCTGAAACCAGATAACGGTTTATGAGTGATAATTGATATACCATTATAACAAACCTCAGAACCCGTGATTCAATGACGTATGTCACTTATGACGTAATATTAGAGGCGTTTTCTGGCGCTCGTGTGTTAAAAACGTGTTCATCTGTGATCCAAATACATTCATTCTGGCGTTGAAACGCCAGATGATTTGAAACGTATTCATGATGATTCAAAACTAGCGCGAGGTTGGTTTTTAAACGGAATTCGACGGTACATTACTTCAGTTGTCAGTTTCTGCTTTATTTTGATAGTTATAATTTATAAAGTGCTGAAAACTTTTTTATCAAATACGTTGTGTTGTAAGGATGTATGAATTGAAGTTGTATGCACAAATCGGATTCTAATTGAGTTCAGAGAAAATTGAAAAGTTTCTTTCTATTTTTGAATTTGACATCTGATACAAATTGTATCATTCCATTCTGGCGAATCTTATTATCAATGACGTCACTACGAATCGTTTTTGAATGCATGCTCGAATACGATTGAATGCCAGAAAACACCTTAGGGCGATAGACCCAAAGATCACAGATTTTCAGAATAACTTTGCAAATGCAATGACTTTGAAAAAAAACCAAATGCGTTTTCTGGCGCTCATGTATACGTGTCGTGTCACGAAGTGTTCTGGCGATATTTTGAATTCACTGGAGGCTCTGGAGATATCCAACTTTTTGTTTTATGAAAGAAGGGACGTTGGCAGATCAAGATCTTCAGATGATGTGGTGCTGCAGGTTTTTCCTGGTTTTCCTTCAGCTGAAAAAGCAAATGCGCCACTGGAATCAATGAAGTCGCCTCGGAGCGTCAATTAATTTTTGTTGTTTCATAATTTCATGATTTGTATTACTCTCTTCTTTAATGATCTAGTATATGATCTTGAAATAATTTTTTCAAGAAAAATAAATAATAATTTAAGTATAACAAAGTTCAGGAACAAATTTATCTCAAATACATTTTGAATAATCCTTACTTTTTTGGTACTTTTTAGTTTTTCACTGAATATTTATATTGGTTCATCTGAGAACAAGGAATGTACAAATGAAAAATTTCCTCTTTTTTATTGCAAATTCATGTGAAGTCGAATATTTCCATTCCTATCATTTAACTTGTCGCAAAAAATTGCCTAAAATCGCAAATGATCTACTGTCAGTTTTCGGTCATTTGTCTCATCATTTATCAAAATGACATTTGATTTATATAAATTACCAAACAGGCAAATATATTCAATAAATATTAAGTCCATTGAGTGAATAATGTTAATAATATGCCACCATTCCGTCGAAAAAAATCTGGGAAAAGTTTCCCGGTGAAAGTGTGTACCTTGGATGCAGAGCTAGAATTCAATCTAGAGGTATGATTATTCATTTGTTTACCATAATTAATTTGTAAATTTGAGTGATATTGCTGGGTAAAAATGTATTCTTTGTTATTATTTCCATTTCAGTGGCGTGCTACGGGAAGAGATCTTTTTGAATTAGTGTGTCGCACGATAGGTCTTCGAGAAACTTGGTACTTTGGGTTACAGTATGAGGATTCAAAAGGTTTCATTTCATGGCTCAAGTTGGACAAGAAAGGTTTCAAAAATTCGGATACTCCTTGAAAGATGATTCAGTAACTTTTTTTCAGTTCAAGACCAGAGTATACAAAAAAATCACCAGACAGCCTCCTTTATGTTTTTAGCCAAATTCTACCCTGAGGAGGTAGCAGAAGAATTGGTTCAAGAAGTAACACAACATTTGTTTTTCCTGCAGGTGAAACAGGCGATATTATCCATGGATGTATATTGTCCTCCTGAAGCTTCAGTATTATTAGCCAGTTATGCTGTTCAAGCTAAGGTTAGGTTATGAATGTGATATTATTTGTTATATGATTAATTGTATATCACTTAATTTCTGTCTTCTGGAATCTAATGTTCGATCTACTTTCAGAGCTGACAGCTAGCTTGATTCAATATCTTGTGCATATTTGCCCCATACCCATACAGAACTTTTATTTCACCAAAATAACCTTCTATGTATACATCCTAGTTTTTGAGTTTCTAAAATAAATGATCCCTCCAGAACCTGTTGCCATTAATGATCAATATTACATCAAGTGGAAGTATTCAAAGAACTCTGGTCACAGGTTCTGTCAGCTGGTATATTGATTGGAGTGTTCAGTGTGGGACTAGAAAAGGACAATACGATAAAAAATTTCCATAGAATTGAGTAATCCATTTAAAAATACTTTCTCAGGCAAAATCATCAGAAAACATCATCACAGAAAACAATGTGGTTCCTCTCATTGTTTTTTCAAATACCAATCGAAAGAAGAGTCTTTCTGAAACAACCACTTTATCCTGTTGATATTATGAATTTCACAGAAATAATAAATTGATGGATGTAGTTGTTACTACGTGGTAGGAGATCATAATGAAAAGAGAAATGAAAATTTCTATGTTTTTTACCACTTTTATTTGTAACTAACGTTACTGTAGTTTCGTCCTATATGGACATTCTCAGACTTATACTTTATTGTATAAGTTTGAGAATGTCCATATACTTTATTGTATAAGTTTGAGAATGTCCATATAGGACAAAACTGCAGTAACGTTAGTTACAAACTTATACAATAAAGTATAAGTTTGAGAATGTCCATATAGGACGAAACTGCAGTAACGTTAGTTACAAATAAAAGTGGTAAAAAACATAGAAATTTTTATGTCTCTTTTCACAGAAATAACTTGTAAGAATTCGTATATCAAGCTACACAACATATCAAACATAAGAATCAAAGAATACTTTCAAATAGAACGTAGAGTTTAGGGTGAACACACTTATTTTCAACTTCTCATTAACAGTATTTTGGACAGTTTGGAAGTGAATTCAACTCAATTCTTGCATGCTTGTTGGATATTCGATACTGTTATAAAAATCAGTTCTGCTGTCACAATGACTATGGAATCTGACATTTAAATAACAAAAATCAGATTCAGTTCAAAAAAAACCTCTTGTTTTTTTCTCCAGTAAAATATAACAAAATGAAACTTCTGAAGAGAAAACAATGAAAAGTATTTAGGAAAAATTTTTGATCATTCAAGGTGCATAAGAGGTAAGTACTCAGTTAAGCAAGCAAGCAGTCATTGAAAGAGTTTCATTTTTACAAGTTTTAGTTTCCAAACGTAGGTTTAAACGATATGACTTCATGTAACACGTTTTATTTTTCCAGTTTGGCGATTTTGATGAAGACACTTACAAACCTGGCATGTTGGCCAGTGAGGATCTACTCCCACAGCGAGTAATAGATCAGTACCAAATGACTCTGGAAATGTGGGAAGAGAGAATCAGAGTTTGGTATGCAGATCACAGAGGCATGTCTCGTGATGAGGCTGAAATGGAATATTTGAAAATTGCTCAGGATCTCGATATGTATGGTGTCAATTATTTTCCTATACTGGTATGTTGAAAAAGGAATTATTTAGTTAAGTTAGATTCCAGAGCCTCCAGATCTGCAAGCTAATATTTTGAAAATGAAGTAGGTAGTTTAGAATGGGTTGAATGGGGTTGAAATTAGTATTTAGATTAACTTGCTGTCATTCAAATATGAACAGATATCTCTCAAAAGTCGAATTTGGTGCATGCTAAGGACTAACGTGCGATTCTTAGCACAGATCAGATTATATCCAGAGAACATCTTTCTTCCCAGAGCCCTAATCTAACGAATATTACACTCGATTACTGCTGATTCAATTTGAGGATGAATCTTTAACTCGGTATGATGAATAAATTAAAGAAAGAAAATTGATTTCTATATAATTCAGTTAACATTAGTGGAAGTAATCATGTGATGGATTTGTCCGTTACTTGATAAAAATCCATATCTTATTCAAGTAACACTGAGATTTTTTCTGAAACAATTTACAAAACCATAACACTTGCTTTACTATAGCTACCTCAGGTGGGTTCATACACGTGTCACGGTTTTGTAAATTGTCTACTGAAAATCTCAGAATAAAATGTTACTTGGGGAAGTAGTTGTTTCAGATATTCTTTGTTCCAGTTTGTATATAAAAGAAACATTCGTGAAACTTTTTCAAAGAGTTCTCATTTATATTCATCAATTTGTTCTTCCTTTTTTAATGTTTTCCATTTTTTCAAGGTCTATTGGAGAAATAGAAAACTAGAGTGATTTTTTCTAAACAATTGCATGTTGATATTCATGTATTCTGTGTAGGGATTTCGAATATTGCCATCATATTTACTCATTATTTGAATAGGCAGTTATAAACAAAAGTTTAGTTGTATGTACACAATAATACTTTTTCATAGGAAATAAATTTCACACCATCAAAATGAAAATAATTATGCATGTGTATGTTTTTTCCAGAATAAAAAAGAGACTGACTTATGGCTGGGTGTAGCAGCTTTGGGCCTGAATATCTATGAAAAAGAAAACAAGCTTCAACCAAAAACTACATTCACCTGGTCTGAAATCAGACATATTAGTTTTGATGATAAAAAGTTCATTATCAAACCTGTTGATAAGAATGCTCCAAATTTTGTGTTCTTTAGTCAGAAGGTTAGAATGAATAAACTGGTAAGTGAAAATTTTCTGTACTTTTGTTTTATTTAGCAAATTTTCAATTAACTTTCATTCTTGCATTCGAAGATATTGGTAATGTAATGTCCTTGCTATATATGCTTCTATTGTCACAGGAGGTATTTTATGTTTGCATAAATGTTATTGATGATATTGCACATTACTTGTGAGTTCACAAATAAGTGATACTTAGTAAAAAAAGTTAAAATCGTTTTATTGAACTTTTTGAATGAATCACAAACCTGAATTTTAACCTCTAGGTTAAGCTGAAAAACAGTTTAAGCTGAACTTCATCTTTTATCATTATTTTTGTTTTTGTATATTATTATATTGATGAATAAAGCCGATTATTATTATTATTAAATTACTTGATATTTTGTCTGCCGAATTCACTATTTGTACACCATTGAATATATTTATGTCATTTATGTCAATGACTTGGTCCATGTTAACATAAGTGGTAAATTCACATGTTTCGCTGACGACACCACTATCCTCTGGCATAGCAATACAGCCTCTAATTTACTTGATCAAATCATCGTCGACATAAGAACGGTTAAAGAGTGGTGTGATTCCAATCTCTTATCATTGAACATCGATAAAACAAAGGTGATCACGTTTAGATGTAACATAGGGGAAGTACACTTGGAAAATGTAAAAATTGAAAATTTGGAGAAAAACAAATTTTTAGGGCTCTTCATTGATGAAAATCTAAAATTTGATTTCCATGTCGACTACTTATGTAAAAGACTAGCAGCAGGATGTCATGCAGTGAGAGTTGTTGCAAGAGAGTTGGACACTACTATCACAAGATCAGTTTATTTTGCACAAATTGAATCCTATTTACGTTATGGAATTTGTTTCTGGGGAAATTGTGCAAAATTTCGTTTCAATATGGTATTCTCTCTACAAAAAAGAGCCATCAGATATTTATGCAAGGCTAGCTACAGGGATTCATGCCGCCCATTATTTGTGAAGCAAAAAATTCTGACCTTAGTATGTCTTTTTATTTTGGAAACAGTGTGTCTTATCCACAAAAAATATAAAAATCAATTTAGGAACACCGCAACTTATAGTACACGTCAGTCTTACTCCGTTTCCCTTCCCACACCTTCTCTAGCCCTTACACAAAATTCTATTATTTTCAGTAGCAAGAAGTTATTTAACCACCTTCCCATTAAATTAAGGCGAATATATAATGGAAAGAAATTCAGAAAGAAAGTGAAAGAATACCTTCTTGGGAGGCCCTATTATAGTGTGGACGAATTCTACCAAGGCTCTATCGAATAATTGACATGTAGCTTTGTGTAAATAAGTTATTGAAACCAACACAAAATGGCTATCAATGTTCATTATGTAGAATTATATATTTACGTTTACTTAATATTCATAAATTCATGTACTTATATTTGTAGCTGTTCAGCTGGACTTAATATTGTTCTGTCCATATACTCTGCTCCGGTGTTTAAGCATTATTTTATAGTTTATATTTGTTAATTGTCCCTTATACATGCTTTACTTTACTAGACTTTGCCAATAAGATGTTTATATCTTGGGTAATAAAGCATATTTTGATTTGATTTGATTTGAACGCTTTTGTATTTCACTGTCATATTTCACTGGGATAGATTAGATCCAAAATGAGTTTCCACTACAACCCGCAAAGGTTTTTTGTGGCTCACACCTGTTCAAATCCTACCAAATAAATCCGGCTTCTTGACAAAGAGGGTAAGCTTTATGGGGAATGATTTTTCAGGTCATATGGCAACAGTGAAACTCTCCCAAATCCTGATAACTTGATTTGGCCCGCAGCATGTCTTGCACAAAGTAAATGCTTTGCTGTTTCATCAGTTTCCAAACAGACATGACGTGAACTGTGTTTCGATAGTCCAAATCTCTTGATTTGGAAGTTACCTGTAAACCTGTGTTTATTGTATTAGAATAATCTTGTAACCGTTTATTATAAAGATTCTACCTAAGAACATTTTCTTTCCAACATATCAGATTTTTCAAGGGGGTGATTTTACTCATTCTAGAGTTTTTATGAAAAAATCTCAGATGTATATACGAGATAGGCCAGAAAGTTCTAAATCATTGAGTCATGAATTGGAGGTTTGGTTCAATACTAGATAAATTATCCTGTAATCATTACAATTTGTTGATCTACCAATCATGAAACTGAAGTATTTATTTTATCAGATTTTGGACCTGTGCATGGGTAATCATGATTTATTTATGCGAAGACGGAAACCTGATTCGATGGAGTTGCAACAAATGAAAGCAGCTGCGAAGGAAGAGAAACAGCGGAGGCAAGTTCAGAGAAACCGTCTGGCTAGGGAAAAACAATTGAGAGAAGAAGCAGAAAGAGAAAGGGCAAACATGGAGCAGAGGTTGTTGCAATATCAGGAGGAAATTCGTTTAGCTAATGAAGCTCTGGTATGTTTTAAAGAATGAAAAGTTGAGAATTCGGCACGGGTTCCTGGATATTCACTTCTATAATAACTGGTTAAACAAAAAATGAAAATTCAGGTATTAACAAATGACGTGAATATCTGCAGCGGAAATTCTTGTAGATTCTTGCCATTCGTCCAGCAGCAGGATCTTAATGAGATAAATCAGTGGAGTACCAGGCATCACTGTCTTGTTTATATCTGTCTGTGATCATTCAACGAGTTCCTGCTGCTGGACTAATGCGAAGCAATTCAAGAATTTTCTCTATGGGGAAATTTGCACAAATTTCTGTCAGATATAATCAAAAGTCCGGCATAGTATTTACCAGAAAAATAGTTGTTTTTCGAAAGAGATTTGCCAGATCCTACTATCTAGGGACGTTGAGAGAGGAAAAAGTTTCGAATATAAATATATAATGAATATTTATTTTGTTATTGTTTTCTTTAATTTTTTGTTAGTGAAGCAATATTCAGTGAATTAATGGGTAAATTTTTCAAAAAAAAATAGTTGAGAAAACTTTTATAAAGGGTTCCAAAACATGATGTGGCAAAATAAGGTGATGACAGTTTCAAGGACTTGAAATTTTTTAACAAGATTCATTGAGATTCATGTTGGTACCATGCGATGTTAGTTAGTTAGTAGTTTCTTTTAACCATAGTTCATTTCATATATTTTCAGTCAATTATATAACATTTCATCATTTTATCCTTTTCTTTTCTTATTATATTTTTGAGATTTAAAACAGCATGGGCTATCGGCTGTTTCGGTTAGGTTTTTCCATTTGATTTGTCAATATTACATATTTAAATTTCTTTCTTACATGTTGAAATTTATACTAGTGTACATTGTTGAAAATTTTGATAAAATCTCCGAACCAACTCCGATAAATTTTGTTGTCATAGTAGGAATTATTTTTTTAATTATAGAAATATGACTTATAGCTACTGGATAAAAAACTGATCAAGGAAACCTAGAAAAAGTCAGGAAATTTAATTCAGTCAAAGTGCTGGATACATGTTTAAATTTGTTTTAAATATGTTTTTCCGATAGACAAGCTGTTGCACCCCTACGACCGACATCGCTCAAAATCGAAACTTGTACGAGCTAAGGAATAACGAGGTCTTACCTTTTAACGTGTGGTTCGTAACACGGGTTGGATGATAGTAAGTGGAAATCAATCGTTCAGCCTGCTGCCTGAACCACCGACCAACATGGCGGTCAATTGAGTGAGCGAAGAAGGCAGCCACGTGGAACTGACCTGCTACCGACCAACCTATCCTGCATAAACAATTAACAACAAACTTAGCTTGGTAGTTGTCAAAGTACACACTTTCCTTCATAGAGTGTGTTGCACCAGGGCACCTAATTCTTGTGGAAGCATAATTTTGATTATGTAGTGCCTGAATACCTACCTTATGTAGTGCCTGAATTATTATTATTATTATTATTATAATACCTGAATTTTTTTAAAAGGTTTTTCAACTCAACAGGGTTGACTTGAAAAATAGATTTATCGGATACTTCGCCATTTTGCCACAAGGCCTTCCTGAATTAATGTAAATACAAATATGATATACTGTATCTCTTGCGACAAATAAAGTTAATTATCATTATTATTATCAACTGTATTTTTTTAAAGTTCGGTTAACAAATTGCATACTATGTATCTATAGAAAGTAAATATATAGAAATTATTCTGTATTTCAATTGATTCATAATCCAAACTAAAAATATTTTCATTTTAGAGGCGATCAGAAGAAAGCGCTGATCTGCTCGCGGAAAAAAGCAGGGTAGCTGAGGAGGAAGCGAGACTCTTGAGTCAAAAAGCCTCAGAGGCGGAACAAGAAATAACTAGGTTAAGACTTACTGCCATGCGAAAAGATGAGGAAAAGGTGTGACAATGCAAGACTTAAAAGACTCCTATTAAAGAATGCATTTCATTTCAGGTTTCTTTGGAGCGAAAAACCAGAGAAGCAGAAATGTTGACTGCAAGACTAGTTGAAGAATCTGAAAAAAGGGCAGCGGAAGCTAATAAACTGAAAGACGAACTGTTGAAAGCCCGTGCTGCGGAGAAGCAGGCCAAAGAAAAACTTTTAGATTTCTTAAGTCGTACTACTTCTTACAATAGTTCGGCTACTGCATCACCAATATCAGTAAGTTATAATTTTATGTATATTATTTTGTAGTTACTATACTTTCCATAAATAAGTAGATATATCAAAACGTGTCTGAAGACTGTATCTAGGAGAGATACATTCATATATGATAATAAATATTTCGAAATGAAATCTCAAAATAGTGGTAGAAGACAATAATATCTAAATTATGGTTTTCAAGTGTATTTTACATTGTTCTTCAATGATATTATGAAACACAATTATTTTGATCTATGTGATCTGTTAATAACAGTTTAGTTAAATGTTATAATTAGAATTTGTTCCTTGTACTCCATTATTGACTGTCATGTTTGTTTCAGTCTGTCACTGCTTTATATCCAGCGCCATTAAGCCCAGTATACGTTCCTGATTTATCGATAATGGACAGTGAAGCATCCAATTCCCCAGATTTGAATCTCAACATTACTTCTTATGACTTCATAGCCAATGCGGATGCCGATCAGCTCTCTCTAGAAATAGAAAAAGAACGGTAAGAACAGAAGAACAAGTATTTGCAAATATTTATATATTTTGTTTGTTCCAGAATTGAATACATAGAAAAATCAAAACATCTTCAAAACCAACTTCGTGAGTTACGAACTGAAATCGCAGTGTTGAAAGTTGGTGAAAAACAAACAGATTATGATCAGTTACATGAAGAACAAGTGAAATTAGGTGAAAACAAATACTCTACGTTAAAAAAAAGCAAGTCTGGTTCAACAAAAAGCAGAGTTGCATTTTTTGAAGAGTTATAGCATAGGATATATATTTTTAAATATATTATTTTTATTTATATAACAATAGTTATTCGTTGATAAGAATAAATATTTTTGAAAAATATTTTCGTTTTCCTAAAAATAATTTAAAAGTACGAGTCAACATGACCGTTAAATGGAATATTATTACAATATATACTCCACTTAATGATTAATGTTCAAAGTTGGCTTTGGCGCAGACTCTTCAACACATCAAATCAAAGTTTGTGTACTTTTTACTTTGTGGTTGTCCACAATTTTGTATACGGAGATAAAAGAGGTGATTTACACGTTACATTCAAAATGCTGTATAATTTCAATTAATACCGGCATATCTGTAAAAATTGAGTTTTTGAGTTGTTGGTGTCAAAAAAATTTCATTTTTTCCCGTCTATTTTAAAGTCGAACCGGTTTATTGTATAGTTGAATGAAAATCCGTCAGATGACGTTGTGCCCGTATGCATTTATGTGGAAATAGCCAGTGTGTTGTTTATCAGAAGACAAATCTATTAGGTAATACTCCAGTCGCTTCAAAAATTCAAGGAGGAAAGACTTCCATCATGTAAGTAAAACTGAATTATCTAACAATAGTAAATTTTTTATCATCCCCCATATGACTTATTGGTAGATAATCCGGTTAACAGATTAAAAAATATTTAAAGTTATTGAAAATTAAATTATTGTCATCAACTTCAGAGTTATATGAATAACCTTCTACATTGGTGCAATTTCAATGGAATGGATGTGAACCTCAATAAATGCTTCTTTATAAATTACAATAGAAATCATACTTCCATAGACTTTTTATACTCTATCAATTCATTAGACCTAGAACGGGTATCTCAAATAAAAGACTTGGGGGTTTTATTGGATGATAAACTATCGTTTTCTCAACACAGTATAATGATTTTTGGGAAAGAAAGTTTTTGGCTTTCTGCTACTCCATTTCGATACAAAAAATGATGAGGAAATCTTCCAAAGAAAGAAAGGTAGTAATCAAGATGGAGTAGTAGAAAGCCAAAAACTTTCTTTCCCAAAAATTAATATCACTCCTAAAAATATAACCTCTTCAATTCAAATTATAATGATCTTCCTGAAAGCACGCAAGATGCTACGTTACATCAAGAGAGTATCCAGAGACCTTTCAGTCAACGCCTTTAAAGTTCTCTACTGTGCATTTGTCCGTTCAATCTTGGAATATGCGTCGGTGGTATGAAACCCTCACTATCAAACTTATATTAATATGCTGGAAACGGTTCAACACAAATTTTTAAGATCTTCTGTATACAAATAAGGAATCCATGTAGACAATTATTACTATGATTATCCAGCCCTATGTTCATCTTTGAATAAAACTACTCTGGTGAACAGAAGAATTGAAATTGGCTTATGCTTTTTGTTCAAGTTGCTAGCTGGTGAAATTTATCCACCAGATCTCTTGTCTCACATTGATTTTAAAATTAATACCTCTGGTACTAGGTCAAATGACACCTTTTATAATAAACACCATTACCGTACCTAACTATGGATTCCACAGCCCTTTATCAACAATGGTAAGGAATGCAAATAAAGTAGATTTGAACTACTTCGATATATAGCTTTTCTTTGTAGTGAAATTATGTTTTGTAGGTATACATATTCAGGACCGCAAATTTTATATTAAGTTGTACAATGCTGTAATGGAGATTCCGTAAATAAATAAATAATAACGTTAATGCGTTTCCACTGAACTGTACTAAAATAAACTGTCATATTTGCCAAAATCTCGGTACCAGGTAAATTTTTTCCCGCCGAATAAAGAAATGTTGATTAAAACCGAAATATGTTTCAATAAATCAGTTTGAATTCTATCAAAACAAAGTTTCATGTCATGTTTTTGAAGATATGCCGGTTCATTTTATTCTTACCTAAAGGATTACAAGGCTCAAAATCGATCCTTGTAGGTAGATTACTTAAACTAATTACCACAGAGCTTTAATATTTTTCCCCAGATTACTTATAATATTTTTGTTTGTTGAAGAAAACAACGTACAGCTTTGATATTAAAACTTGCAGCAAATAGTGAAAGGCGATGGCAATGCTTGCCTCCACCACTAGTCAATGTAGAACGTATTACTGAAGATGTTCCTGAAACTAGCAAGACTGAAAACCACGTTTCCCCTTCTGCTAGTAAGTTTAGGTTTCATTGTTTGACCTAACCTAACCTAATAACCTTGACAGACCTGGGATTATAGCTGAATAACATTTGTGCAAGTTTTCTTGCAGCTGTTTCAAGTTTGTCCAGTAGTAGGACCTTATTGAAATCAAATTAGTAATCACCTATAGATCGGTTTCGGAGTTTTACTCTTCATCACTGCATGACAGATCTAACCAACGCTCCACCGCATATAGGTACGAATTTTTTCTTCAAAACAGGAGCTGTTTCAACTTCAATAAAACAGTACCTAACAGTTTCATTTCGTGAAAAAACCTCAAGTTGGGCTTGCGATATTTTAGTCTTTCATCAGACGAATGGTTCTTTTCTGAATAGACTCTAGCAGTTTCAGTTTATTAAGTGAATCATCATGCCAGACAGTGTCAAAGGCTTCAGAAGTAACAAGCCAAACAGCTTGAGAATCTGAAGTCATAAGAGGATCTGGTGAAGGCAGTAAAATGGGGGATCCATTACACTCTTGGGGTTCAACCAAAGAGTTATCACTTCACCAGATGTAGTGTTACTATCTTGACTTTGCAAGTGATTGCCTTGTGGAGCCTCGTTTATCTTTAATATTTGAGGATTGAGTTCTCTGGGGAGATGTCATCGCCATTGTTTACCGAGGGACCAAGCGGTAAGAATAATTTTTTTTATTGAAGATGGACGGGGTCGGAAGCAACTGGTAAATTTTGTGGGTGTCGACAGTATCACGAGTAGTAGGTAGGTACCGAAATACTGGACTGTATGGAAGACGAGCTGTAGTAGGACGACAAGAGCAACTACACCTGCTGACAATCTATTTTTAATAATTATTTAGGCTTTGCGTCGAAGGCACGCAACTGCAATATAACTTAGCTATGAGTCCAAATGTATGTATGTCTCCAGAAACAGGAAGATGTTGATAACAGTCCGATATTAGAGACAGCGAGGCTGCTTTGATACTCACCATGGACACCGTCGAGCACGTCTAATATTTGCGGGAGAACACGTGATTCAATATTGGTAACCTGGGTAACTTACACTTCAAGGATGAGTCTAGATTTTGTTTATACATTTCTGATCGGAAAATATCAGTTTATAGACGTCAGGCAATACTGTCAATACAACATCCTTCCACAAATTAGAGGGAGCTTTGTTATGTTCTTGGGCGGAATATCTTTATGAGGATTCACGTTGAATTGGTATATAGGTAGAGGATCATTAGCTTATGATAGGTAGGTACATTAGAGACATGTTGTATCTTACACCCCATTTGTTGGTGATAATTTTGTATGTATGACAATGCAACCCTTAAGGAGGTTAATATCCCACTTTAATGCTGGCAAGCACACAGTCCAGACTTGAACACGATTGAACATTATTCAAGAGCATTGATTGGAGGCCAAAAGAGGCAGTATAGGTAGGTACATCTTATTGAATCATATCATTTTCCATTCATGATATTTATCTATTTAATTGTGTTAAAGCATTTGCTCCCAATTTATTTTCTTAATACATTTAATTGAATGAAATTCCTGTTTTTCGTATATTGTTGATTTTTTTTAATTGTAGACTACGCACTCATCAATACTTGTAAATAAAGTTTCCCTTTCCCTAAGCCGCACCCTTCGAAAAAATGAGCGGCACATTCCTACCGACTATAACCCAGTTAAACGGTCAAGTTCCGCTTCAAAAAACAGCAACAGCGATATACCTGTCTTCTATCCAACTTGATTTTATACAACCTACCTGTTGAATATCATAGTTGGCTGAAAGACATGAAAGTACGGTGTTCGCCGACGACTAGATTCTCTTTGGCGTGCAGACTGCAGACACTAATAACAAATGGTGAATTAATCGCCGATTCGGGTTGTTTGTAAAGGACTTTTGACATTTGGGGATAACTTTTGTGAAATCCGTTGGAAAATTCAACGTATATGAGAATTTTTATTCCGGAAATTTGGTGTTTTGTGTGTGCTTATCGGTGCCTTTCTGTGACGTTCTAGGATATTTGCAGGAACTTAATACAGGAACGATAGGTGAGCTTTGCGCTTTCAGATTTGAGCTTTTAATATTTTTTCGTCGACAAGATTGGGAAGTTATACTTTGTCTTAATTGAATTGCCTCTCATTATCACTAGTTTATAATTACAAGGTATCGCATTATTTTATATTTCCGTGAAATTTTACTGATATTCTATGATAAATTAATATTCCTTTCATAAATTTTTTTATTTCACTAACAAAAGCATTATGTACAAGTACAGGAAAATATATAAGGTTTGTCCATTCAAAACAAAATCAGTTTCAAAATGAATAAAAGTAGGAAAATGGATAATTCACTTGATTCAATGACAATCATTATTTCTGTTCTATTTAAGAAGCGTCAAGCCAAATTAATATCTGCATATCAAGTGTTTTGTGTTTTCAAATTTAAAATAATTATAGGTAAACATCCTAAAGTTGAAAGGAAACGGTTGTTTATTTTTTCCAAAAACTTGATCACCATATGAAACAATGATATTTTGATACCCACAATTCATTAATACCTTCTCAATTTTTAGATTTTTTTTTGAAAATTCAAAAACTTCATCCTGATATTGAGAAACAAATTTTCCAAATCAATATATAGACGTGTTTGGAAGAGGTTAGTTTAAAATTTTTTCTAGTCTGTCAATCCAGAAAACTGTATTCTGAAAATTGTAACCGTTCTTTCGTTCAAGGTCATATTTATCATTTATCACCCGTTGATATGTCTTCAATAAATATTTGGGAAAACATAATGTTGACATTAGTTTGTTCCTTCTAAGTATTGTTCAAAGTAGATGAATTTTGCGAATTTGAAAATCCTTTCGTTGTAGGTCCAAAGTGAGTGGGTCTATTCGACCCTCTACGGCAACCTGCAAGGGTTTATTTTGGCTCACACTCCACCAAATAAACCCAGCTTCTTAACGAAGCTGATTCGTTTGTATGGTGAGTGGTCTTTCAGGTTAGATGGTAAGAGTACGGCTCTGCCGAACTCTAAAATCCTGAATCGGTCCCCAGCGGGACAAGAACAAAGTATGTGCTCTGTTATTTCATCATTTTCCAAACAGAGGCGATACACACTGTCTTCCGACATCCGAGTCTCTGCATAATATGATGATTCAAATGACAGTGAGCTGTATAAGAAGGCCTGTTAGACATCGTAGTTCATCCCTACTGTAGTCCAACAACTGTTTGGTATCAATCTTCGAAGGGTGGATAAACGCCTTGGAGTGAGCCAATCCTGGAAGATTCTGCCAGAAGTCATAAATCTTGCCATCCAGGTGTTCAATCTTTGTTTGGCAAAGCCTGAAGTGATGCCAATGACAGGTTCTGGTCCGATGAAGTTGCTTGCAGCACCATCTTTTGGAAGGGAATCAGCAGCCTCATTGCCTTCCAGGCCGCTATGGCCACGAATTCAGACCAGAGACAATCTGGTCTGAATTCCTGCGATTCCTAACATTCAATTTTCAAGTTGTTTTCAAGTTGTCGAAAGTTCATGGGATAGAGTATTAACATATTTCTAATATCTCCACGAACACGAATGACAAAGATACGTCCACAAATTGCACCTTGATTTTTCGTTTTCCCCGTTTAGTTATCCTGAAAACCAAAAGTCATTTGGTCATTTGGTCATTTTATTTGGTCATTTCAGACTAGGACATGGACATTTTAAACTCTTTTCTGTGAACATTCCTATTAAAGAATTTGTTATCATTCCTTTAAATCTATTATATTCTGATGTTTTTTCCAGTATTAAATGGCAATGCATTATTTTCCTTATTTCGAAAAATGTAAATGTAAATATGAGCCATATGAGATAGACGGTAGCGAATTGTTGTGGTTGATTGAAAATGCGGTTATCAATCACATTTCTTGAATGGTAATGCTAATTAATACAAATATTAGCGAAACCGTTGTGTTGATAGGCAACAGTTCATTTAAACTATTTACAACAACCTTGATCTACACTATACTATGCTTTATTATTCATTTTATAGAATAATTAGCGAGTTACTGTTATTTTCATTTGTTCTTCTCTTTTGAATATTGCATTTCCTCTTATATACCGGTTCACAAAAGGTGTAATCTGATCGTGAAATGCAACAATTCATCGTGATAATGAACATGCTGATAATACAATTTTCATTGGTGAATAGACGAGTTGTTTCGAGAAAATGAACTTTCTTTTGTCTGCTATGATCCAAATAGAGGATTGGAGCTATATATACTGTATATAATAATTGGTTCCGGCAACAATAAAATTGAACTGCATTTTACTAAATACATATTGTGATTTCAGCTACAGGTTAATATTTGAAATTTCCGGGTTAAATGAGTAACAATTTCAAAATAATCCTGAGACTGCATCGAGGAGAGATACATACGTATAAGGAAATAAGTATTTTCAAATAAAATGTCGAAATATTAAAGTATTTCTCCCAATTTACTTACACACCTACATGAATGTCTATTGAATATAACGCAATGTCCAAGTGGAGTTATCCGGGAAAGTAGTTGTTTACTGGTAGACATTCTCCAAAATCTATTGTTTAGATACACTGTTAGAGATGAATAATTAGAGATTTCGTATCGAAATATTTATTTTCTTGTGGGTGAAACTTTCTCATATATTCAGAAAAAGCTCAATAGAAACGAAAACAAAATAGTTTGAATGGATGAATAGATATATACATATGGAGGAAGTGAATTTAAAATATGCTGTGAACATTAGAACTCTTGCAAAAATATGCATAAAAATCTTGAATAATAATTATTAATAATGATAACGGGGCCATATTGAAAACATTTAATGATTTCATTTCTATAAAATTTCAATTATCTTTCAGTATATTGTACGTTGGTCTAGGTTTAGACTATACAATTTTCGAAAATGAAGTATGCATTGCCATGGTAATGTATTCGATAGTTACCTATCTTATTATACAATATTTCATGAACATGATATTTTCTAGTGTCTTCCATTAGTGAGCCACTTCAATTCGGAATGCTTTTTAGAAACATGATCTTAGTTTCACAGATTGTACATAAAACGAATGCAAAACTTTTGTACCTTTTCAATTTTATATACAACAAGGTTCATATATAAAATCACAATACAGTGCTTTTCTTTAAGGTCCCCCCCTTTTATTTTTTGAACGAGTCAACTCAAAAAATTGAAATTTGGGATAATGAAATTAATGCATGAATACTTTATTTTGAAGTGAAATTGACAGATGAAGCTTTCAAGATGGCGACTGGGCGCCATCTGGGAAAAAATTAAATGGAAAGGGGGTCTTGTGAAACATCTTTTTGATGCTCCTGACAAATGCTTCACAACCCTAGAACATAATGTCAATGTCTTCAACTTCTACAAAATGGTGGAACTTTTAATAGCCTGAATACATTGACATTTAACTACATAATATGAATAACGATGAGATTGGAACCTTTGGTGTGAAAGTTGAATAACTTTTTGCCTTGAACCTTTTGACATATGAACAGCTTATCCGATATTTCACGCCGAACATTTTCGAACACAGTAACGTCAATATCTCTACAAATATTTATTATTCTCTGCCGTATATCCAATATTGAAGTAGGTTCAGTTTCGTACACCTTTTCCTTCAAATAGCCCCATAAAAAGTCCAAAGGTGTCAAATCTGGCGAGCGGGCTGGCCATTCTGTAGGACCTTGACGGCCAATCCAACGACCAGGAAAAGTAGTATCCAAATGGTTTCTTACTTGTTTGGAGTAATGTGGTGGTGCTCTAGCTTGTTGGAATACAATATCCATATCGAATTCATTAGAAATCGCTTCGACGATTTCAGTGATGAGAGGGTCAACAGTAGTTTCCAGCATTATCAAATACAGTTCCCCTGTTGAATTTTGATCAATAAATAGAGGTCTTACAATATGGTTTCCCAATACGTGGGGGTTGGTGTCACTTCAATAACGGCAATTTTGTCTGTGAACATTGCCGTTAAAAAAAAAGTACATTCGTCACCAAAACAAATATTGTGGAGATAGGTAGGATGCCTTGCAATGGTTTCTGTCATGATTTCGCATAATTCTGTTGATTGTTGTTCAGTTAATTTGTGTACCATTTCAATTTTGTATGGATGATATCTATTTCTCTTCAAAAATCTCCACACAGTAGAAGGAGACACCTTACAAACATTCGCGACGGAATAAGTAGACTGTTCAGGATTTACTACCATCTCACCAATTATTTGCAGTTACTGTTGCCGGAATGAAAGAATATTTCTAGAAATATCGATATCAATGTGTTTGTCTTCAGGAAATTATGAAAATTTCCGCCATTTTGTAGTAGGCGAAGATATTGACTTCATATACTCTAGGGTTGTGAAGTATTCGACAGGAACTTCAAAATGATGAATTGAAGGGGTTATATTTTTAGGAGTGATTAATTTTTGGGAAAGAAAGTTTTTGACTTTCTACTACTCCATCTTGATACAAAAAAAGGATGAGGAAATCTTCCAAAGAAAAGAAGGAAGTAATCAATTTGAAAATAAGTAACTCTATACATGGATGTGTAGATCATGCAAAGAAGTAACTTTCAGACACAAACTGAAAGAAAGTTCTCCTGAAACAGCTACTTTCATATAAACATTGACTTACACGATAGAAAAAAAATCTTTCAAAACAAATACTTCTATATGAACACTGAGTTATACAGAAGATACTTTTCTCTAGTCAGTTTGTATTTCAAATATTCGTTGTGGAATAAAAATCAGATATCATTCACTGTTCATAATCTAAAGTAGTTATTTCTGTGATGAGTTATCATCAATTTATTTGATATTTTCACCTTCTGTATTAGATAAAATAATAGTCATACTAACTAAAACATAGTTGAATTTTTACAAAGTAATGACCCAAAAGTAAACCCATGAAAACTGTGACATATAGTATTACTTTTCGTTATTACTGGGAATGGCACTGAAATCTGATTTTCTATAGACAACCATCTGAAATATATTCAGTAATTACCA